TGACTTGCGGTGGCCAGCCGATGTACAAGTCAGTGTTTTATCCTCCCAGACGAATCTGGTACCAATTTACCGTCCCCGGAGGGTAGAAGGCTTGGTTGGCCTGGGCGGGAGTCGACCCGGGATTTGAACCCGGCGCCGCGCGAGTGGTAAGCGCCACTTGTCACTACACCACCTCTCGCCTCGCCCCGGAGCCCTCCCGTCAAAGATTCCTGGATTGCCCCTCCATAATGCTCAGCATGCCCTGTCAAATGTGCAGCTCTTTCAGTCGGTAGTATAGGCCCCGCAGCAATGCGCAGGTATCAGCGTCAGTCGGGAAAAAGCAACCAGAAATGAAAAGGTAACAGGCCCAAGCCAACATGTTGGGTTATGGGGTTTGAGGTATCGCTGGCTGTGCGGAATAGCGCGACGGCACCCGGGTATCAATCTAGCGGTTATGTGACAACTGAAACTCTCGGTGGGAGTCCCACTGCGAAAGAGCGCAGAAAAACAGAAAACTGTGGCCACCAAGGGGGTACAAAGCGCATCGAGGGAGTAGAAAAAACATATTACGAGCAAGGAGATAACTCTCTTTGAAGAGAGAGGATACTAGGGTGGATCAGGACTCATTATGCGTTGAAAAGTTGTTATGTGGAGGTCAGAGCGGTCACAGATCGCCATGAAGACGTGAGAGAGAGAGAGCAGAGAAAAACAGAAGGTTGACGCAACGTAAGGGATCGAATTCCAATTGTCCGTGGACAAATCTAGCGCGCTCTTGCGCAGTTTCGAGTGGTATGGGACTGCAGCTAGGGACTCATTCACTTCGCGCATGAGAAGAACCAAAGCCCTCAGCATTATTTATTCTACTCTTACCCTTAGCTCTTATGTTTCATCTCTGGCACTACGGGGACACCCCGGGAACCTTCCCACACTGCACTTAGGCGCAGCGTTCACACTTCGCGACGGCAGCGCTTCGGTTCGGCGAGATCGATGCGCATGCTTCTGCTGCATCGATCGCGTCGAACGCGCGATCGAAGCGCTGCCGTCGCGAAGTCTGAACGCTGCCTTAGCCCATGGCACTTACCATGGTTAGAGTCTTCATAAATTTCCCATTCAAACTGCAAATACGGTCGTGGCTTTGAACATCGATCGCGTCGAACGCGCGATCGAAACGCTGCCTTAGCCCATGACACTTATGGTTAGAGTATTCATTAATTTCCCTTTCAATCTGCAATTCGGTCGTGGCTTTGAAGTGCTGGTTGCCGGAAAACCCTGCTGGAACGATTCCATGGTGAAACAAAGGGATGTCTGAAACAACTAGCAAAATCTGGTCAGTAGAGTTGGTACTAATATCATCAAAAGTACCTTTCACTAGTACTGATCAAGGCAATTCATACAGATAAGCCTTATCTTATCCGTTTATCTTATCATGCAGTGTAAAACTAGGAGTCATTGCGAAGGAGGTTCATTTCCGACGCCTCCATCAGACGTCCGGTGATTTCACGTTGCTGCTCGAAGTGCTCCCAGCTCCTGGTTGCTGAGTAGGTTCCTTCACAGTTCTCGTCATGTTTCATGTGCGTCAGAAATGTTCTTATGCTGCATCGCATTCCGGCAATCTGAGCGCTTCCAATACCTGGTCTGTCACCTGGTGTTAGGTGCGCACAGGTGGTGAATGGTTAAAAACTGGAACCTGGATGAAATGGTGGGAATCCACGGCACCATCTGGCATCGGCAGTGCTTGAGAATGCTTAGTGGCAAAGCGTATAGGGTAGTGTGAAGACCTGCGATGTTCCAGGACAACGAGTTCTGGCCTATATACAAACGTTATGGAAGGCAGTTTCAATCAGCCAATTGAGTACGCTGAGATAGGTTACGTGACAACTAAAACTTTTGGTGGGGGTCCTGCCACGATAGGCCAGAGCGCAGAGCAATAAGGGACTGCTACAGCTAAGGCATCGTGAGGTAGAAAAAACACTATGCGAGCCAGGAGATGAGCTTTTTCGAAGGGAGGGGACACCGGGGTGGATGAGCCACTTAGTATGCGTGAAAAGTTGGAATGTGAAAGGTCAAAGTGGCCATAAATCGCCATTCAGGCAAGAGAGCGCAGAGAAAAGAAGAAAGTTGGCGCCATTAAAGGGATTGAGTTTTAGTTGTCCGTAGGCCACTGAGATATGCCTGCGGCGGGATCTGTCGACGTCAGGACGGTCACACAAACGATTTCGATTCAAATGACCGCACAAGAGCAACGGCTGCGATGCTATAGGCGCGTACTGAGAAAGCTGACTCGATGAGGAGTTCGACCTCTGAGTACAGGGCAAGCAACCACGCGGAGAATGATCAAAGAATGGATGGAGGAAATCCATTGGAAAGGGATGCCACACCAGAAAGTGCACTGGATCTGGACAAGGGGGGAAAGTTTGATAAGAAACTCGGACCCTTTGATAGCGCGGGAATAAGGCGAGGGCGAAAAACCTCGTTTTGCATACGTCCCTGAAACGAAATATTGGTGGGATGTTGCGGTTTTAAAAATGTAATCATGTACTTACGGAGGTTCAGACGGGGTAGCGCACCTTGAACAGTGTCTGAATAAAGTATGCAACGACGATCTCTCCCTCTCCAGACTATGAACGCCCTTCATTGCGTTCCTTCTGCTGGTCTGCCCGAAAAATCAAGCGCCTCTTACAGCAAAAGTGGGAAGTCCGAACAAATGGCATAGAGGCTGAAACAGGAACTAGATTGGTCCATGACTGGAAGTGATAACAAAAAAGGCAGATAACTCTGAAGTTTCACAGCAACATATGAGATCTTCGCAGACGATATTGATATCCTACTATACATAAACGGCAACGTCTGTCGTTTGTCTGTCTGTCTGTCTGTCCGGAAATTCGGAATCACCTGAAGAGCCAGTTGGAGGGGGCGGGTCAAGGGTGGGTTGGGTAGGGCATGGGCCAAGATGTACGGAACATGAAGTAAGCTAACGCCGCCCAGTGTGGGCGGAGCGTGAGCACGGTTGTGGGCCAGTTATTTTCGAAAATCCGTAATTCGGTTCTAGAAGAACCTGGGGAGCGGAAAATATGGGAAACAATAGGCAGTCAGTTGGCGGAAGAAATGAGCGAGACAAACCCATTTGGGCGGGGCGCTCTATAGGTGGGCGGTGCTTGCAACGAAGCTTTTGAAAATTCGTAGTTTGGCTCCAAAAGAGGTCCGAGAGCGGACGACAGGCAATCGGTTGGCGGACGAAATGAATGAAGCACACCCGCGATAGGCAGGGCGTTCACCGAAGTGAACGGTGCCGAGGGCAAAAACCCTCAAAACGCATACGAAAAACCCCACAAAATGAGGAGTAAGGTGAAACTGTGCAATGATTCGGCAGATGAAGTTAGTTAGCCTAGTTATATCACCAGTCGGATCGCCCGGCTGTCGCCGGGCGCTCCTCCTGTGTGACATGGCCCGGCTTCGCCGGGCCATGCGGATTTGCCGCGTGCTAAGTTAATCGTTGACCAACCACACTGTTCAAAGGAATCTTCTGCATCAGCCAAGAACTGAAAAGCAGCGCTTGTTCCGTCAAGGCGCAGAAGCAGCAGCAGCGCCCCCACCCCCGCATCCCAGAAGGAGGAAAGCCGGCTTTAGCCAGCGATCCGACTGGTACGTTCATAACCTACACGGAAATAGTGCAGCCTGTTTGGACAGCCACTGAAGCAGCCTATAATTTATGCAATCTGTCTTCCTAAAGCGTCTTGCTTTGGAATGCACTACCGCATTCAGCAGTGGAACCCTTTAAATGGCCCTCACTGAAGTTGCTGATGGAAGATAATTGTGGTAAGAGTGATAAAGTCAGTTGCTGCTGTTCATAACATCTCTGTAAACAAACCACATGCATTTGGAATAGAGCTGGCTTAGCGGTCGTACACGATGTCGTTACTAATAAGCAGTGAGGAATGAGTTCTGTTGGAATCACTGAGATCGTTATACTTGAGTCATATCGATCGCATTGTTGTTGTGAGCGGTGAAGCGGATTTTTCCATGCTACCTTTGTCAATTTTAGCTCCTATCACTTCCGTACCCGCCAATAACACTCCCGTCCCGTATCACTATCATATCACCCTGTATCGCCTCTCGGATCAGAGGTCCCACTGTTGCTGTAACCTGCGTTACGAATCTGATGACCCTCCCCTTCCGAGGCCGCTTACCGTATCTTATCAACTGTTATCACTTTCTGTCGCCCGCCAATAATGTTCCCGTCCCACACCCTATATCACCTCACGGATCTGAGTTCCCACTGTTGCTGTAACCTGCGCCACGAATTTGATGACCCTCCTCTTCCGAGGCCCCTTATCGGATCTTATCAACTGTTATCAGCTTCTGCCAGCCCCACCCTACGGCATATCAGTACTTGAAATCATGGTCCCGCCGTTGCTGCAACTTGCCACGAATTCGGTCACCCTCCCCTTTTAAGGCCCCTTATCGAATCTTATCAAGTGTTATCACCTCCTGTCACCCACAAAAGTGTTCCCGTCCTGCCATGTATATCACTCCTTGAAATCACGGTCCCACACCTGCTGCAACTTGCGCTACGAATTCAGTCACCCTCCCCTTCTACGGCCCCTTATCGTATCTTATCAAGTGTTATCACCTCCTGACACCCACCAAAAGTGTTCCCGTCCTGCCATGTATATCACTTCTTGGAACTGTCATCCTATCTTTTCTGCGACGCTCGCTATGAATTTCGTGACACACACACACACACACACACACACACACACACACACACACACACACACACACACACACACACACACACACACACACACACACACACACACACACCACACACACACAAGACACACATAGCGGGATTATATAGTAGGATATACAAGAAGTGAAACGGTGAAGTGGGTTATTCTCAAAACAATATTTTTTCGACCGTTCGCTCGGCGAAGCGGGCCGATCCGACTGGTGACTTATACAATGCGAGTATCAGGATTTCAATGCAATTGGAATGGGTCTTTTTAAGGTACCAACAAATGGCATTCTGCATTCTCCCCTCGATTGCACTCCTATCTATGCAGCTGTTTGGCTTCTCGCGTGGTGACAGTCCAGACGCTGCTTTGCCATCGGAACCAGATCTTAGTGGCAGAGTCAAGAAAACCTTTACTATAGAAGAATATGAGGGCTGGTCAATGTGGATGGAAGAGGAAATAGGATACAAGGTGGGTGGCCGTAGACCCGACTTTACGGTTGGAGCAACTGTTTCATCTACTTTTTTCCCGTTCTCCTTCTTCACAAAGAACCTAATGTTAAGGTATTCGTTCAAAGAGCAACATGGGAGCAGGCAGAACAAATCTGTCAGGAACACTACGCACACTTGTCTTCCGTTATGTCGGAAGAAGAAAATAATGTAATATATGGTAAGAAGCTGTTTGATATATCCCTGTCACCTGTGCTCCCGTTAATCTTCCAGTTGCTCGAACGAGCTGTGGAAGCGCCTCCCCCCTGTAGCATGGATGTCCATCGCAGGACTTACCAAGAATGAGCCACAGTTTTTTTATGAATGATGGATTTCCGCACGCGAATGGCAAGTCCTGCGAGCACTGCGGGTAGTGATGCCATGCTACGGATAGTTGCCGCTCTTCAGTGAAGGGAACATGAGAAATTAAACATGCATCGAGAGCGCCTCTATGAGAGACCCCTCCTTGGCAGCCGCACTGTCTCACTGTACTATATTCCGAATCACTGGTAGCCAACACCCCGCAGCCTTACCATGCCTTCTTCTCCCTAGCGTTAGTCCCGCGCCGTCGCAGGGTCCGCTGTTCTTGTTAGACGTCGCCACTTGTTCCGATCCACTGCATCTTCTGCTGTGGCTTTCACTTCAGTGAGGTCCTTCTTGATGACGTCCCTCCATCTTTTCTTTGGGGCTCCTCGTGGTCGCTTGCCCTCTACTTCGAATTCCAATGCCTTCCTTATTGGGTGGTCTTCAGGCCTCCTCAGTACGTGCCCATACCATCGCAGTCGCTGCTCTCGTGCCTTCAGCTGGATCGGAGCCGTCTGTGTGACCGCCCTGACGTCCTCGTTTCTGACTCTGTCGAGTCGTGTCCAACCGCAGGCCCATCTCAGCATCCTCATTTCAGCTGAGTGGAGCTGCCTTTCATGGTTCTTGCAGATGGGCCAGCACTCACTGCCGTAGAGCATTGTAGGCCTTACCACCGCCCGGTACACCTTGCCCTTGAGCGTTCTCGAGCACCGCCGGTCGCACAGGATTGCCATGGGTTGCCTTATTCACCCAGGCTGCGTTTTGATATCGGGTCTTCAGCGCTGCCAGTAGCTGGCCATACTGCTAGGTGCCCCCCAAGTACTGGGGACCCTCGACCCTGTCGATGCTCTCAGCATAGCGGTCTACAGTGGGTTCGTTACACTACGGAGCTCAGGAACTTGGTCTTCTTCACGTTCAGCCGGAGTCCATTCTCAGCGAGCACATCCTGCCACCGCTGCACCTTGTCCTGGAGTTCTTCCCTGCTGTCCGCTAGTCGGGAGACCTCTTACCTTACGTTGTCTAGTGCTAAATGCCATCCGACACGCAAACATAAAATTAAGCAACAACGTTGAACTTACATTGGTATTGGTTAGAAGAAAAGAGAATCTGTCCGGCCAATCTAAACAGCGGTGAATATTGAAAGATCTCCACCTCTTATAGAGGCAGAGTCGGCATCCGTTGATGCAAAAAAAAACAAAAAAAGGACATCCTCGGGGTCGTACCTGGCTCGCTGGAGAGAAAGGGTTGCATTTGGAGGAACCAAAAGTCAAAGAAACTGTGTTAAAGTGTGTGTGGGATCAACGGTTTGCAAGCGGACTGAAGGCGTTCGCTCTGAACATGCACCTGCATCCCGAAAGCTTCTCACGATGCTTCAGACCACAGGGATCGTCAGACTAAGAAGCTGTTTCATATGTTTACGTGACATCTTAAACATTTGTGCATGGTCCTATTGCGAAAGCCAGAACCGCAGACAGATAGCCATGGCGAGTCAAGAAACAAGCGTTTTCAAGGGCAGGGGCTTCGGGTTGGGGAGCCAGGAGACGGGCAAAAGAATCGTAAAGTGCCGCTTCGTCGCGAGCGGCAACGTTTCCTTGATTTGCACTACCTTTTTGATTAGAGCATTTATTTCATGCAGAGAAGAACATGGTGGAACTTTTGTTTATTTTCGGTCATACATTATCTGTTTTCGACCAATACCACCCAAAATCGTCGTTATTAGTGTGCGCGATGTCGTACGCGACGTCAACTGGCGCGACGAATTACGATTCTCTTGCCAACACGGGCCAGGTGAACGGCAAGCCACACACTCAGTGAACCATTTACGGCTTACGAGAAAGCTGAATTGGCGAAGTCACAGTGATCACTGAGCGTGCCCAATACTCGCCAGATATTTACATTCTGCACTGAGCTTTTTGCGGCTTCTGAACACTCTCGCGAACCGAGTTACTGAGTTTTATGCGAAGCACCGCCCACCTTGAGTACGCCCCGCCCATTTTGGATGTGTCTGCCACAGTTAGTCTGGCGACTCCTTACTAACCTTATTCTTTTTTCCCCATCTTAGGCTGCTCCGGAAGCGAATTATGAACATTTTTCTGCGAAACCCCAAAATTTCAGCGAGTGCCCCGCCCACTGTGGGCGGGCTTCGCATAAGGATCAGATGTGCTTTTTGTTTATTGTCCCATGACTTCTACCATCCCTACCTTGACTTGACGCGACCTCTCCAAGTCGTTCTTCAGGTCGAACCGAATTTCCGGACAGACAGACAAACAAACAAACAAACAAACTTACAAACAAACTTACAAACAAACAGACGAAAGCGTAATTATTATATGATATTGAAGGGTGATATATGAGGGGATGTAAGGCAACCATATATCCCGTACCGGTCTAATGGTAAGATGCCACGGGAAAGCTGCGTCTGGAATTGCTTTCTGAATCTTGAGAATGGCAGCTTTTTTCACGCGTTCCTGACCGCTCCAGTTCGTTTTTTTTTTCGCCATTTCCTTTTAAATAGCGCCCGCTAGCTATTTTGACCGAGTAGCGAGCTATCGCCTTTGAGCCGCCGTTCCGTGCAAATTTGCTATAAATACTGTTCGTATGCCTGAGGTATTGCTCACATTCTGCGACCCTGACGAATCGGAAGGAAACGGTTCCGCGCAAAGGTCTTGATACGTATCGATTGGCGGTACGGCATTCGCGTCTGCAGCGCTTGCGCCATCTCCTAATCCAAACTCGGTGAAATCGACAGGCATCCAACTTTTTTCGCCGGAAGGTTGGACCGCGCCGGCGTTTCGCCAGAGCTGTTGACGATTTTCTAACCGATATGTATTTATTGCTTTTCGTCAAACCTCCAATTCATCAGGGTCGCAGAATTACATAAGCAGTTCGGGGAAGGGCATCTCTCTGAGGGGACTCGCACTTCTTTCAAATGGTAGACGTGGTTTGCCAGTCTCTCTCCCATTCCTGCACAAAGTGCGGTCTAATGTGATTGCAGCCAGAGATATGTATCTTTGCAGAAATAGCGAAAGCGTCGATAGAGAAAAGCGATAGCGAGTTGCTCTGGCTTGGAGGAAGGCAAAAGAATTACCCGTCCAGCAAAGAGTGGTCATGGGCAGATGGCAAATCCCCCTCCCAGCTTCAGCTACACAAATTGGGATTCGGACGAACCCAACGATGTGGACAACAATGAACAATGCTTAGAGGTACTCATCATTTGCTCCACATTACAGTAAACTTATCCTTTTTTCCTCGAAAAACTGGCGCAGTTTCTACACTGCGAAATGGGCAACAGTTTACAACTTCTGCAACAAGGAACTGTGTGCTATTGACGCTCAAAGTATTACGAAGGATCTAAACGGAAGGATTCTTCAAGGAGGGGACAGGGATTATCCAGCAAAAACTTGGTGCCGGAAGTATTCAACGGTCAGGGACGGCCCCCTACACTTAAAGACACAGCCCCGCGCTCACAGCTGCATCATAGTCGCCTTCCATGTGACCAGGTAGTTCAGCCCCCAAGCTAGATATCTATCCCACTGCTCCGGCGACTCCACAGTGGAGGCGAGGAGCGAGCTACAGCCGCTCAAAGTTCTAATTCTGACGCCCGCTCAGTTGGACCGCCCTACTTGCTAGCTGCCCTCTGACGGATAGCCGCTCAGTTGTTCTTTGTTGGGACGGCAGGCATTAATCGAATGCATGTACTTTTTGCTGACCGCGCTCGTGCTCGTAAATAATTCTGCTCTCCTTCATCACATTTTATTCATTGGGAGCACGTACAGTCAACAGCAACCCATCTCGTAAGGTAAAACGCGTAAAAATCACGAATGATGCAATTTCTGGTGCAAAAGCTCAAAAAAAGCGCACTAAAGGATGCCAGATTTTTGGATTTTCCTTTTTTCAAGTGCTTACTTCGCTTCGTGTCTTTGTTGTTTTTTCATATTTCTTTTCTTTGAATTGGTTGTTGTCCACTACTGGGAAATGCCATAAAGCGATTTGTGAGCCACGGGTTACCCAGGGACCGCAGGGCGGTGTAACTGTAAGGGAGCAGTTTTATTTGTGTTGTTCTTGAGGGCTCTCTTGCTTGCTTTTTTTCCTTCATTGAAGAATTGCTTATCAGCTACTAGTTTCATAATCAGCATTTATGGCTTGACACTTTTATCGCCGGGAGCTGTCATTGATACTTCATTGCGGGCAAGGTACAGCATCGCGATTTGTGAAATGGCGGTGTCAGTACGACCCTCCCCCCACCTTCTACCGCAAACAAAGTCGTTCATCGTCGGCGTAAAAATAGCGTGGGAGAAGATTTGTTTTGAAAGACAGAAACTTCAGTGCTTGTTTTGGTGGCCATACCTTTTTCAGGCTCGGAACCTTAGGGAGATAAAAAGCGCCATGATAAAGCGGTGGCCCTACAGTTGCGTTTTCTTACCAGCTGAAACCTGGATGTCTCCGAATACGGAAAATGATTGGAAATGGTTTTTGATGGGTTAGGGGCGAGCCGTGCGCGAGTTTTTTAGTTTCGGACGACAGTGACTTCTTTCAGTCGCAGCTTTCGCAAAATCAAAAACATCTTTGCAAGAAGCGACCATCTCTGAGACAAACTAGCTGCAAGCAGATATTTGGGACTGGCTGCTTTTGGGCGAGATTATGAGGTCTGCTTTCAGACCACATATTCTCGCTGAACTAAGTGAAAGCATAGTTTAGTCGTCATCGGTCGATCCCGCCTGAGTGTGCGCTGTGCATTACTCTCCCATACAGAGGTGGTGGAAAGGTGTGGCCCCCGGTGTAAGTAAGTTTCCTTTCAATGAGACGATTTTAGAAGGTCTACATAGGTCGATATCAGCGAACCTGTTAATGCTGTATTATTACGTTATGTACGT